TTTTTTTCTAACCAGGAACCGTCGACCTCCCCGGTAGTGATGTGTTGCCAGGCAACCGTCATCGATCGCTGCATCGATTGTTGTATTGGAAGTGTTTGTGTGTCTCTGAAAGTTTAGACGCCTCCGGTCTGTTCAGACTCCGGACTGTGTCCTCCACCCAAAATTCAATAGGCTGGAGCCTGAGAACGAAGACACACACACACACACACACACAGAAATTCAATATGTTAGTTTCAGGAAAGTGAAATAAGAAAATGCTGTTTGGGAGAAGTCCTGGTTTTCCGTGTGTACCTCGCAGTGTGTTTCTTTGTGTTTCCTGTGTGTGTGTCCTCCTTTCTCCTCACTCCTTAATATTTCATGCCTCCTCTTTGTGATCCTCCTGCAGGCCTCCCAGACCAGGAGGAACCCCGGAGTCTCCTCGCAGGACGCCGGCCGTCCCCCCCCAGCCCTCCTGCCCGGCGCTACAGGCCCAGATCAAACAAGGTAACTACAAAAGGAGGGGCGCTCGCTTCGCACACCCCCAGGGCCCTGTGGGGAGGAGGGAGGGGGAGGGGTTTTGATAATGCAGCCCACTGGCAATAAAACCCACAGAGAGTTACAGGAGAAAAGCCAGATATCAGGAAGCTGCTGCTCTTTAAAGAACTCTTCTGTCGGCTCAACTCACGACCGCTGCTCCTGCTCACGTCTCTAAATAAGTTTGATTCACGAGAGACTGACGGAATATTACGTTTGTTAAATCGGGAAAAAGCACATTTACATTTTCATACTGGGGAAATGGTTTTTGACTCCGAGTCTCATGGCGATTTGAGGGAAATGTGATTCGGAGAGACTCCGTCCACTGATTGATGCTCCTCTGTCCAAAGTGTCGTCCTGACATCGCGTCGTCAGGCTGCAACAGTTAATCGATCATTAATCAGATTCTAATTTATCTCCAACTATTTTGATCGTCGATGAATCAGTTTGAGTGTTTTGTTTGTTTCTCGGCTTCTTAAATGTGGATGTTTGCTTTAGTCTGGAGGTCAAGGGTCAATCTTGAAGATCAGAGGAAGAGAGAAGAGGATGAGACAGAGTTTGAAGAAAGAGAGAGAAAGAATTTCACTCAGTAAAGTGATTAAAGGAAGTTTGGTCTTTCACTGCGGAGAGAGTCACTGCAGTCACCATCTGCCCACACACACACACACACACACACACACCCATCATGACGAGCTCAATACCTACAAACATACATGTGCCATGGGTGGCACCCTCAGGTGTTTGGGTGTGGGGGGGGTGTGGGGGGGCTGGAGCTCAGTGCTATTGTCACGCCTTAATGGAGGCCAAGCGTGACAAGCGCGTGGACTTATTCATGCCACACGCCTATTCACCGCCATTCAGAGGGAACGCTCGGCCGTGACCTCTGCTCAGCCGGCTACTTCAAGTGTGTGTGCGTGTGCGTGTGCGCGTGTGCGTGTGTGTGTGTGTGTGTGTGTGTGTGTGTTAATCCTGCTCACTGTTTCTTTTCACATGGAAATAAATGAGGAGGCCGTTCTGATCTACTGTGTTTAGAGATGAGTGAAGAGACCAGATGATTCTAAAACGATGTTTTACATTTGATCACAGTTCAGTTATCTGAGTATTTGTTTCACATGATTTTTTTTTTTACCCACAGTTAAAAGTGTTGGACCGAGGAGCTGCTTCATGCTCGATCTTAGCCAGAGAAATAAAACATACAATTTAAAGTTAAATGAGAAATTCTTCTTCTGAAAAAATGTCTTTGCTCTTTGAAACGTCAGGATTTTCAAAACATGAGTCAACAGATGACTTTTTAAAGCCTCTTATATTTGTCACGGTTCCACAGAACTAATGAGTATTTACTGGAGTACATTTTACATTTACATTACGTTTACATACGTTCTGGATATAAATACTAAAGTTTCATATAATTCTATGATATTTACACCAAGAGGACCAAAGGACAGCGTCGTGACAAACTGTCCACGAGCTGAAGTCGAACATATAAAACTGAACCCACTGAAGTTCAGTCTAATTTCCTAATAAACACATTTTCATCTGAAATGTTTTTTTTCTCCTTCGCTCGAGCAGACGACCGCACTCATCCTCTGATTCTAACTCTTCTCTCTGTTTCACTCGATTTCTACTCTGTCGTTCACTGCATGGCTTCAGTCTGCTGCCCCTTCGCTGGATAAAGAAAACCTCCCACACACACCCCCCCTCTCTCTCTCTCTCTCCCCCCTCTCTCTCTCTCTCTCCCCCCTCTCTCTCTCTCTCTCTCTGTGTCTGTGCACGTCTGTCCGTCGTGTTGTCTGTTGTCTGTGTCCCATGTTTTCTGTGCGGCAGCTGAACAGTGTGTGTAAATGTTACCTGTCGCGTGGTCGGTGAAGGTTCGTTCACCGTCTGTTGCTGTGATTAAAAAATATAAAATCATGTTTTCAGAAGCGAGCGAGTCAAACACTCGTCATGAGAAGTGAGTGACGTCGTTTGATCTCCACGACGTAAAGGTTTCAGGTTCCCGGCTGCAACATAAAGAATTAAATCAAGTTTAATGTCTTTTTACGACTGCATGTAAAGAAATTATAAGAATAATTATAAATGTAATTCATCCTGCTGACATTTGAGAATTCTTATTGAAAACATGACGATGAGGTTTCAGTGCCGGAGTGTGAAACCTTTGTGTCTCGGTCCAGGAGTTCAGTTCGGCTTTGTTCTGATGTATTTGATCTTTTCATCCCTGAACTAACAGATGATTTCTCGTCTCAAGTGGTTGCCGGGACTTTTTAATTGCCTTTGTTTCACTGTTTAATTTTCATCTGTGCCTTTTATTAACTTTTTAAACTTCATGCGTCGCCTTTATCTGCATCTTCTGGTTAATTTCCCCTTTTTGTGTTATTTCTTCCTGTTGCCGTACTTTTTATTTTACCAGATGTTTTTGTGTTTTTAGTTTTTGCTTCATCAGGTTTGTTTTTGCTTTGGTCCTGTTTCACTCAGAGGCCGAACCCGTTCCCGTGTAATATTTCAGAACTGGGTCAAGTGATGAACTGAGCACAGTTGAAGAGATCTCCTTATTCAAATCTTCACATTAGCAGCTACTGCTATTATCATTTTACATGTTTTCTACAAATGTGTGAAAATTAAAGTGAGGACATTATTACATTACACTTCATGTGTGGTGTCAGTCTGACCTTCGTAGACATGTGCTTGATGCTTTTATTAAATCAAAGCCGATATTTTCATCATTGATTTCACTTTTTGTTTCATGTTTTCTTTTCTTTCGTGTTTTTCGGCTCTTATTTTGTTTTGAGCACATTTTCTTCCTTCCTGTTTCCTGCTCGCTCATTTTCTCGGTTTTGTATTTACACTCTTCCTAACCTGTTCTTTCCTTCTTGACTATTTCTCCTCTTCCTTTACAAGCTGCTGTAGCTGCCGCAGCCAACACCGGCGCTGCTGCCGCCCCTCCTGGGGGTCCGGGGGCCCCTGGGGGCTCTCCCCATGGGGCCCCTCGTCCCCCCAGCTCCAGCCCTGCCTCTCATAACATCCCCTCAGTCAACGAAGGTACAGACTGAACTGACGGGCACCACTTAGGGAACGTCTGGCAGCCATTCTCTTTTTTCCTCTGTCACTTATTTTCCTTCGCTTCCTAGAATCCTTTCTTCTGTCTTTCTGTTTCTTCTCTACTTCCAGCATATATTTTTTATTTTTCATTGTCCATTCCTATTTCCTCTTCCTTCTCCAGACTTCACTCTCTCTTTATGTCATCACAATTCTTCACCTCCCCTCTCTCTTCGTTCCATCAGTTATTCATCTTCCCAGTTCTTCCTCCCCCTTTTCTCTCCTCGGGTCTCGTCACCTCATCTCTCTTCTCTTGCATCAGTCTTGTTTCTCCCTGCAGCCAGTGTTAGGTTTTCATCTCAGGTGTCTAGCTCCAGTTTTAGCAGCGTCTTTGTCCTTGTTTTGGTCGACAGCGCTGTCTCTCAGTTTATCTGTCTGCCGTCGCTGAGTTCAGTCCACTCTCAACCACGTCGGTTACAGAGATTCATCGTTCCGGCTGCAAAAATCTGTCAAAACCCACTTGACACAGAAACTGGTCTTCATTCTTTCTTAATCCGATAAATATTTAAACACGGATACGTTTACAAATGATAGCAAATTATTGAAAACATAACGAAACAGCAGTCCTCCCATTTCAATTAGTAATAATCACGCTTATGACGCTCCACAGAAAAAGAGGCTGTTGAAAGAATGTAATTAAAAACGTGCAGGAACCCAGAACGAGCTCTGGAGCGCAGCGTGATGTCATCTGCAAAGAAGTGGACTAACATTTGGAACTGATGCATTTGAGAGTGTATTGACCTCAGTGTCCTGTCTTTGTCTCTCTGTCTCTGTCTGTCTGTGCGTCCTGATGTCTCAGTGTCTTGACGCTCACTGTTTGCATGTTTGCTATTTTCCACCTGATGGAATGAGGGAATCTGTCGCCACGAAACAATTGAAATGGAACAAACAAGAACATTGACGAGCGATGAATCAAAAGTTCCCTTGTTGACGATCAGTCGTTCCTCTGTTTTCACCTGCAGCACATCCAACTGACCAGGCTTGTAAATTAAAAAGTTAAAAACTAAACTAAAAGTAAAATTAAACTTTTAATGTAAATCAACTGAAGTGCAACAATCATAATTTAGATTTGACTTATTTTCTTTTTTATTCCACTCATATTGTTTTTAAGCAGCTATTAAACAGATTTTCAGCAGCGTGCTGACTTTAACCGCGGAGGCTCGTGAACGATCTCTTCACCTCCGGTTCGTAGGGAAATCAAATGCCTGCTTGAAGTTCACAACCGTTAGTTTTCTGAGCGAGCCAAAATCATTTTTATTTGGTTTTATGACAGAAAATGGCAAGCATGCACACAGAGGCTGGGTCCGTCTCTGTACCTGTGGGAACATTTTAGTAAAAGCGAATTTAAAACAAGTTTATTCAACATGTTTATTCCTAAAACACTGCCCTGCAGAAAACCCTTCGTTATTATTAGTAATATCACAAAGTGGATCCATCTGATATCTGGTTTATTTGTTGAATCCTGATGAACAGCTGTTCTGTAGCATTGTGTTGGTTGGATTATCTGGTTTAATATTAATACTTAAATTACAAGTGAAATAGAAATGTAATACCAGTAGAAGTAGATGTAGTACTAGTATTATTATATTAGTGCAGCTGAAGCAGCAGCAGTAGTTGTGTTGAACAGGGTTAACATCGGGTTTATCACGAGGGGACGACAGATTTCCAGATGTGTTGCTCTCAGGATTTTATATTTACAGTTTCGAATTAATCCATTTAATCAAACGCTTCACAATCATTTGAGGTTTCTGCAAGACAGTGATGCACATTTTGAAACTAGAGGTTGACTGATCTTTGTCTGATTTATCAAAATATTCATCACAATAAATCTGTCAACCTCTGCACAGTTTTCCTGAATGCAGTGTGTGTGTGTGTGTGATACTCCTAACAGTGTGAGTTTCCTCTGTACTGTATATGTCAGTGGCGGAGGTAAGTTAACCTGGAGTCTGGTAAAGAAATTTGTTTAGAATTTCTTTCCTGCTTAAAAATCACTGTGTCCATCACACGAGTACATTTCACGAACATGCGTCCTCCCTGGAAACCATATATTTCACCAATATATGTGAAGAAGGTGCCTGGTTTATGTTGAGCATCGACAAATGAACGTTTCAGTCCATTTTTCTGTCACAGACGTGTCGAAGCTGCTGTTTATTTCTCTGGTGTTTTGGTGTAAAATGTAAATATATGCCGTTACTTGTGGCTCAGACTGGTGCAGCGGGATCTGAGCCCCTGTTGAAGCGATACCAAGACATTTTGAATGTTAGTTACGAGAATAAGAGTCAGGTACCTGAAGCTAGCTACTGTTAATTCCACTGAAAACCCACAAGGTTTTCTCTTGTTTCCAGTAGAGTCGTCCTCACAGTTTCGTAAAACACATTTGAATTCATGATGCCGAGGTATCGTTATGAGGCCGTGTGTCTGTACCTGTGAAACACCAGCGGGCTCTGGTTAGCATCGAACAACTTTGTTCTAACCAAGACTGTGAATTATAATATTCCCATCATGTGTTTAACTGTTGTTAGTGTGACTTGTTTTCTTTCTGTGAGGATTGTAGAAGTACGGTAAAGTCAGTGTGTGTGTGTGTGTGGTTGTGAGAATCCCACTGTTGTCACATGGAAGCGTTTTATTCTCTTACAGATTTAATGGGACACACAGACACAGTAATGATTTATTTGTTATTAGTTTATGGCTGAAGGGAAACGCTCTCATTTGCTTTCTCTCGGAATCGGTCTCACATCTGCAGCAGGAGGATAAATAAATGTTTCAACCGTCCCTCCTCCATGATACCAGGTGGTTTATCACTTGTGTCCACGTGGACTGTAAATAAAGATGGAGGACCCGTCTCCACTTCCTCTCGCCGGACGATAATGAAGCTAAAAGATCCCGGGTGAGGGTGGCGCCATTAGCACTGGGGAAGTGATACGGAGTCAGAGCTCGTACATGTGCTCAACCAATCACGAGTCAGTCTCAGCTCGTTTGTATGTCATCAGATAACTAATTAATTATCTAATTAAAACCAGAAATGACCAGAAACACTTGAACAAACATCAGAACGACCTGAAATTACCTAAAACCATCTTTGACAAATATTTATTTAACGTCTATTTAGATGTTTTGTTTTGTCCCATCTGCTAACCCATACTGCAGTCAGACACAAGGGGGCGATCAGAACACTTTGGCTTCACTTGACACGTCGTCCATCTTTGTTTAGAGTCTGACCCAGAGGGTTGATATCGTTGACGACTGTTAGTTTTGACTTTTTAAAGCAGAGAGAGAACAGCAGCTGGTGAATCTAAAGTCTCAGCACGTCAGTGACAACATGTGACAGCAGTGAGGTTCGTGTTTGAGAGAAGCTTCATGTGTTATTTATCCTGCGACCATTCCTGCAGTCTTTTCTGACACTGTGTGTGTGTGTGTGTGTGTGTGTGTTTATATGTGCGTGCTCAGGGTGGAGTCAGCTGGCAGCCATGCACTGTGTGATGCTCCCTGACCTCCTCGGCCTGGACAAGTTCAGACCTCCTCTGCTGGAGATGTTGGCGCGGAGATGGCAGGACCGCTGTCTGGAGGTAACACAGACGCTCGAGTGTTTCAGCTGTTTGTTTATATCAATAATTATATTTGATATATAAGTTTATCTCCAGTATTTCAAAATATAAATATTCAAAGTAAATATTCAATTTAATTTGCCCAGAATGAACCTTACAACATTTTTGTTGATGTGAAATTCATGGATAATTGAGAACACGACTTCTTCGTGACGTCTCTATAAACCTCTGCTCCGTCATGACTCCGCCCTCTGTGTGGTCTTAGGTACGAGAAGCAGCACAAGCGCTCCTATTGGCTGAGTTGAGGAGGATTGGCCAATCAGGACGCAAGGACACCATCGACCTGTGGGCGCCGTACCTCCCCCAGTATGTGGACACCGTCAGCTCCCGTAAGTACCTCCCTCTTCTCCCCGACCGGGCCGATCAGTCGTGGTTTTGTTCTTTAAAAACATCGTGATCGGTTTCCATGAGCTCATCAAAATGATTAAACATCATCAAACAGTCTAAAGGGGAATCGAACTGCGGCCTCCCGAGTGAAAGCTTCACACATTTCACCCGACCACATCTCGATCCATGTCTTTACTTTGCGCGTGTTTATTTTTAAACCTAACTTGGGAGATTTTTCATATTTTGCGGACTGACCTGGTTAGATATTGGTGATCCTGGTCACTGGGACCGTGGAAACACTTGTTTCTCCATAGAATAAAAGTATAAAAACACACCTGAGCCCCCGGCTGCTCCGACTCTCACCTGAAACACGAGGAGGATTTGATGAGTCTGTGCAGAAAAACCTGCTGCCGTGTTGTTCAGCTGTGAAACACAAACTCTGGAGAAACTCCGGAGACGATTCTCTGGATTTTACCCGGAGGTCATGTCCGAAAACAGCTCATCTGCCTCCAGCTCCGTATATTCCCCAGTGTCTCTCCTCTCTCCATCTCTCCATCTCTCTATCTCTCTCTCTCTGTCTATAGTTAGACCTGCTGATGGGAAGAAAGGTGAATCTTCTTTTACTAGAAATGGCCTTCTAAAATGCTGTGTGTGTGTGTGTGTGTCTGTCCGTGAGTCGTGATTGCTGAGGATGCTGGGGGTTTCTCAGGGGAACAGTTGCCATGGAAACGGGCACCAGTCAGTGTTGTGTTACCACAGCAGTACCGCAGGCAGGGGAGGTGGTGGGAGTGATGGACCGGTGACCTCAGGGGACGAGGAAGGATGGAGGGGGGAGGGAACAGAGAGAGAGAGAGAGGGAGATAGAGCGAGGTTAAAGGGTCATTGAATTTGATCTGTGTGCTGCGCAGCAGGACTGAAACAGGCGGTAAGATGACTCCTGCTGCTCCTGGAAATCCTGGAACATCACGGGAGAGTCAGGGAATGTGTTGAATCCTCCAGAGGAGTCCTCTGAACCCGAACCTCTGCTCAGATCCGTCTGTTCTTAAATGCCACATGTGTCATCTTCACATATTCTGAACTCGGAGTCCGAACTGTCTCCCTCGTGTGAAACAGGGTGTGTCAACCTTTTCTGTGACCCTGTGTTTCTGTCCCCAAAAGCTCCTGACAGCAGCTCTTCTCGTGGTTTCATTTGATGCTCACAGCCTTCGCCTATTTCTCCCTTCCACCAAATTATCTTTGGTTTTTGCACAATTACAGACCAGCAGACTTGTGAATGCTCCTGATGAGGCTGGTTTTGACAAAAGTGATGAAACAACGTGCTTTATTCATGCGCTTCAAGCTTCTGAACGACACCTCTCTCTGATAGATGAACGATAGCGAAGAGCAAAGAAAAGGGATACGAACATTTTGCTGACTTGAGGCGACGTTCTCTTAAATTTCCCCTGTACACAAGTACTCTGTACACAAGTACTCTGTACACAAGTACTCTGTACACAAGTACACTTCTCACACTGTTGTCATTCACATGAGAGGATCAGTGTAACATAAAGAGTTATTTCACAACAACGCTATCATCACATAGGCACTCTGTCATCCTCCAGAGACACACACACACACACACACACACACACACACACACACACACACACGTTCTGCTCCTCCTCCAGCAACAGAGTGGTTGGTGTTTGAAGGAGAACACCTGTATTTATCCATTAGCTTTTAGTGCCGAGGAAATGTCACTGAGTCAGTGACGGAGTCCCACTGTCGCAGCATGAGGTAGACTGGACAATACACACAAAGACACACACACACACACACACACACACACAGCAGTGGCCATGGCTGACCTTTCAATGTTTAGAAAGTGTTAACACAAAGGAAGCAGGAATGTTAACCTGCACTCAGAGAGAGAGAGAGAGAAATAAAGAGACTATAGAGCGTCATTAAAAACAGACCCGTAACCTGTCTTCTGTGTAATGAGCAGCAGGGGGCGACTCCACTGGTAGTTTCTATAGAACTCTACCTCTCACTTTATAACGTCAGTAAACTTTGTCCTCAGGAGTTTATGTCTCAGTCTCTAGTTTCAAGTCTTCTTCAACACAGCTGATGTGTGGACACCACAGTGTGACTGACAGCTGGTAGCGTCCAATGGGTGCAGCTCACGAACCGATGGACGACGTCACGTTGGGTTTTCCCGAAAACGCCGATTTGCTTTCTTTCAGAGAAGCAGGATGGGAATTTAATTATCAGTTTTATGTCCGAGCGTCGTGCAGATGGCAGCCGACTGACCTGAGAACAACAAAACACGAGCGTGAAGCTTTAATCTTTGAGGTGGAAGACGTCATGAGCCGCAGGGGAGGAGGAGGAGGAGGAGGAGGCGTAGCCAGGGACAGCCCAGGAGAGAGGCTCTGAGGCTGGGCAGCGAAACGAGAGTACCTGGGGGGTCTCCACACACACACACTCACTTAACACTCTGATATTCACACACACTTGATTAAACCAGGTCCGCAGCATTGTTCGCCGCCATACGAGCATGAACTCAAAGATTCAAGGGTCAAACTGTGAGAAGCAGCTGTTTCTCTGATCCTCAACACCAGTGATCACCTCCCTCTCTCTCTCTCTCTCTCTCCTCTGCTTTTAGTTCACTGTCTCTCTCGATCGCCCATTCCTGGGGTTCGTTACTCCTGCTGTTGAAGATGTGTCTGCTCTTCTTTCAGATTTCCTCCTCTCAGCTCCTCCTCTACTTATTGCTAATATCTCTCCTTTACCTCTCGTCCACCTCTTCTTCTCTGATTTACTTGCCGTCCTCTCGTCTCCCTCTCCTTTTCGTCCCCTCTCTACCTTTCCCCTCTATTTTTCCTCAATTGCACAACTTCACCTCTTCTTCCTTCTACTTTGCTTTTCATTTTACACCATTTACCTTCCCCTTCTCTCCTGCTTCCTTCCCTTGTAAGGAAAGAAAATACATGAAAGGAACAATTTATAAAACGTAATTATAATAGAAATACACAATAAAACATACGGAATAAAAATACACTGAAATATAAATTGTGAAATTATTTCACAATTAAAGGATGAATTAATAACGAAGAGGCTGAATAATACACATAAACCAAAAAGATCTGAGAAGAGAGAAAATATACAATATTAGGAAAAAGAATGATCGGAGGAGAACGAGTGTGTTAAAGAACAGGAAGTGTGTGTTTTAAAGGGAGGAGTGGAGCCAGCAACAGAAGAGAGGAGGAGGAGGAGGATGAGGAGGTCCTGGAGGTTAACAAGGCATGCTGGGAGCTATGTGTCATGGCTGACATGACAAGCTTGACCTTGGAGCAGGGCAGAGTGTCTCCTCCCTCCCTGTTCTCCCCCTCCGCCTCCCGTCATCCGCCCCTCCTCCACCTCCCTCTCCTCTTTTTCTCCCTCATCTCCTCTATCTCTCTCTCCTTCTCATCCCCTTGGCCAGGACAGCTGAGTTATTATGTGTGTGTGCGTGTGTGTGTGTGTGTGTGGACGGACACCAGAATTACCCAGCAGCCACTGCACAGATGTTTACATTTAGACTAGCGCAGTAACTTCACTTCTTCCTGAACGAACGCTACGATTCCACTTATCAACAACAACAACGTCCCATTCCCACAAATTTCAATCAGTCTGTGGGGGCGGGAGGCACCTATACTGCAGCCAGCCACCAGGGGGCAATTGAGATGATTTGGCTTTACTTTCATGGAGCCGTCATCCATCTTTATTTAGTCTGTGATTTTAATACGAAACACTTGAACTGCAGCTGAACTGAGAGGAGGCGTTCTCCGTTTCCTCAGAAACTTCAGTCGCCCTTTCATCAAACCAATCACAGGGAAGCATCAGTTATTCCACTTTAATTAAGTTTTATCACTTTAACATGAGACGGACGACCGGCGGCCGAGCACATGTGTGTGTTTGTCATGTAAAGTGTGTGTGAGCAGGTTAATTGGAACATGGAGCAGGATGGTTACCAGGATTAATCAATGTAATTACATGTAGTGTTATCACAGACGTGTTCAGGAACTCACGCTGATGTTTGTTCTTGTATGTTTATTTGTTTCTATGTTTATTATACTAAATGAAATCAACTGAAACAAGCCCCACCCACAGCGTTTGACTCCTTGAGCTGGCTTTTGCTTCGTTGCACAGGGAAACTGTGTGTGTGTGTGTGTGTGTGAGTGTGTGTTTGTGTGTAATTCATTAATTAGGCTGTTTTCTCAGAGATTAGCTCAGCATCAGCTCTGTTTCCTTTAGCCCCTTCATTCATTAGCGCAGCATCATTCATTAGCCCTGAACGCTAATGAAAAGCCACTCTTAATTGGCAATGGAGCGATAAAGGCTAAATGAAAACACTAAATATTGTGTGTGTGTGTGTGTGTGTGTGTGTGTTCATTAATTCTCCAGATAAAGGGGAGGTCCAATAAACCTTTATTAGCTGCTTAACCAGGACAGTTAGCCTGATTACACACACACAGGCTCATATTTAGTATTAACTCTAATGTCTCTCTCTCTCTCTCTCTCTCTTCAGCTGGATCGACCACCGAGCCCTCCTCTCCGGCCCCGCCCCCTCCTGATGTTCAGCCAGTAGAAACCAAAGCTCCTGAGGAGGAAATGGACGTCACTGATGATGACATCACAGCAGGTAGGAACACGAGTGCAAGCGTCTTCGCATCGACTCTCGGAAATGTGTGAATCGAGTTAGCAGAGTTAGCAGCTAGCTAGTCCGACACGCCCCGCGAACAAAGCCAGGGACAGCAAGCGGCGGTCGATGTTTCCGTCGAGTGCTGTGAAAGCAGCCGACCAATCAGAGCAGACTGGGCTTCATCAGGAGGGGGGGGGGGGGTCTTAAAGAGACAGGAGATAAGTGTTTGAGACAGAGGCTGAAGAGAGGAGCTGCAGCGATGGACAGTCTGGGGACAGTGATGTGTTTTCTGAACGTTCAACCGTTTAGACCTTTTCATCCTGAATACGAGCTCAACGTGAAGCGTGAGCGTCTGAAACGAATGAGTTTTTATTTGTTCTGTGAGCGTTTGTGGTGTGAAATGATTCGTCCGCTCAGTCAATCTGTGGAGCCTCATCTGGTTTCATACAAGAAACATTAAAAACTCATTTATCATTCATGTGCTGCTGAGTTCAGGTGTTGTGCTCTGGTGACTGTGTGTGTGTGTGTGTGTGTGTGTGTGTGTGTGTGTGTGTGTGTGTGTGTGTGTGCGCGGTGCACTGTGCTGTGAGCTGCATGGTGTTAAAAGCTGTAAAGTGTAAAGTGTCTCTCAAACACACGATAAAGTGAGAAATTATTCTCCTCAGGAAACCTTGACACCTGCAGCACAGGTAGAAAACACACACAGACTCACACACAGACTCACACACAGACTCACACACACTTTTCTGGTCCATTTATCTTTTGTCACATTTGCCTGGATGTTTAACTGCGACAGACAGACGGGGGGGGGGGGGGGGGGGGGCAGTCTCCTGCAGCTTCTCCGCAGGTCGACACTCACACAAAGAGGAAGAGTCAGAGTGTAAATGTGTGATCATTTAAATTTGCAGTGATAATGATCAGTGTTTTGTTTTTTAATTATCAGCGGCCTTTACTTCACCAGTTCGGCTTCGTCACAGGAACATTTAACTGAACTCATTTCTCTGAAGGTGAATTAACATAATTTCAAAAACGGGATATTTTCTTAAAAAACGCACAGAGACACTGTGTCTCCGTCCTGGTCTCACTGGCTCTCCTTCCTCCCTCCATCCTCCTCTCAGACCAGTCAATACCACGGACGTGTTTGACAATTTATCATTTCTCACTGCTCATTTTTCTCCTATTGACAGCAGTGTGTTGTTTTTTTCTCATTCAGTCTCTGCAGTATTAAATCTGTTAGTGGAAGCCACACACACACACACACACACACACACACACACACACACACACACACACACACACACACACACTGAATCTTCTCGGCCGTGGAGGAAAAAACTAGTTTTAAAACTTTTACTGCTCCTGCTCGTTCTTTTCCTTCCTTCCTTCCTCCCTCCCTTCCTTCCTTCCTTCCCTCCTTCCTGCCCGCTCATGTCTCTGTGTTTCCTCTGGTAACACTCACATGTAGTTTGTGAGTGTTACCAGAGTCAGACTGGTTCTCGGGGCTGAAGCTGATGTCAGAGAGAGAAAGGGGGAGAGAAGAGAAAAGGTAAAAACAAAGAACGGAGGGAAAAAGAGACGAGAAGAGTGAACAAAAGAAAAGAGACGACGACAGCTACAGAATCACTTGACTGCAGACTGTTACCACGGCGATAGACTCATCACCTCACTCACTCACTCACTCACTCACTCACTCACTCACTCACTCAGTGTGTGTGTGTGTGTGTGTATTGCAGGATACTGTGGATCCTAATGACATCCCTTGACACTGCTGGACACACACACACACTCATTCACTAGTATTCAGTTTCTATTTTGTGATTTTTTTAATGAAAATATTTTGGTGTTTATGATTATTAATATTCTTAATCATCAAATATTGGAACAAAATCTGTTTCAATATGTTTTCATGATCAAAGAATCATTCAGGTCATCGATGAGGCGTCGTCCGCTTTTAACATTCAGCTGAAAATCTTCACGGTTCTGTTTTTTTTTTTTTTGAATTTTTCACATTTTTTTTTACATGAGTGTGATTCAGTTCAACACAAAATATTTTTAAAACACGATTAAATTCTTTTGTCGGTGTGGAACAGTAATTTAGTTCCACACTAGAGGGAAGACTGTCTCCACCGACTGAGAGAGAGAGAGAGAGAGGAGCTCATCTCTGCCTGTGGTGGAGAGCGAGAGACCCCAGGGAGGTCAAAGGTCCCCGCTGGACACAGCTCAACCCCCCCAAACACACACACACACACACACACACACACACACACACCCTTTGTCATCCACAGGATTCAGGAAAATGTAAAAGTAAACGATACCTGTAGTTTTTAGTGTTGACTGTAAAATGTTTAAAAAGGCTTCGTGATAATAACAGTAACACAGTTAGTGTGATGGTAACACATGAAATAATCAGTGGTAGAGGAATGAAAACAGATGAGGAAAGGAGGGACATCTCTTCTCCGTCCTCATCCCTCTCTCGACCATTGTGAGCGTCCACAGCAGCAGATAAAGGTCGGAGGTCAGAGTCCAGGTTGACCCTCACCTCTCGGTGTCATTAGCCTCGCTGTGATTTGGTTAGCTGAAACGCTAGCCTCCCCGGTTAATCTAATATCGGAGCCTGGAGGTCGTTTGGGTCAGATCACGTTTCTCCTCGGAGCAGATTGAACTTATGGAGAGATGAATGTTCCGAGCGACGACCGTGAGCTCTGATTGTTTCTGATGATTGTGTCTCTGCTCTTTTACACGGCCGGGGCCCAGCTGGTGTATGAGGATATTATTGTATTACAGGCAGGGGAGCAAAGTTATTGTCTAAATGTTGTAAATGTACAGGAATGTTTTTAAGGCGGTGGCTTCGTCACAGACGCCCCGATATCAAGAATGGTTCCGAGTAGAGCCCGACCGAGGAATACGTTTTGGACGATAAAAGTCGGTCAATCAATCAGATTTTATTTTAATCATCCTCTTAATTCTCCACAAGGAGCACGGTCAAAAAGTCCAACAAATCTTAAATATGTTAAAATATTACGTACGATAGGTTTTTAACACTTGGTCTTAAAACACTCATTTAAAAACGTAGCTCTTTGATTTGAAACGTCTCTGTGTTGTCGTTCTTTCTCAGCGATGAAGATAAAACAACAATAAAACTAGAAACAAGACAAACGTGGAGCTGATTACTGAATATTTATGAAGGCTGGTGACAGTGCGACACCTAGTGGCAGGTTGTATTATGTGTTATGAATATTATATAACCGGTAAAGTCTCAAATTCGTATAAACGATCAGGCAGACGGACGTTGAGTCGTCGTTGTGTTTTGACGTGCAGTCTTCGGGCCTGTGGGCAGATTCAGATGTTAATACTGGTCACATTGATCAGAACGAAGCTCGGCTTTCACCTCAGAGACTCGATCCTCAAACACACTGAACACACACTCTCTTATCGGCTTAAATGGAAATGAGATAATGGGACAAAGCCAGAGAGAATCAGCAGATCAAGTCTGAGCCACATTAATGTACAAGTTTGTGTGTCACATATATATATATATCTATATTTATATATATATCTATCTTTCTTTTCACTGTGAGATGAGAAGATCATTCTCTCTCTCTCTCTGGGTTCTTTTCATTTGGAGGAGCTGGAATCTAATTCTGTCCGACGTCTTTGATTCTTCTGTGAGCGAGCGGCGGTGCCTTTAATAAAAGTAATTCCTCCTTTATGAGGAGGCGTCGTGATGGAGGCTCGACCACTGTCTCTGCATTAGGGAAATTAACGTCCACAGCCATTTCTCACGCCGAGCTTTAAACGGCGTGAATGTGACAGCGGCAGAGTGACGACAAACTCTGTGTATTAAAAACCTGTCGGATCGCAAATGAAACTGCAAAACCAACACATCGCTGATAATGGAAGATAAAATAAGACCTCAGGCTTTTAACAGATCCCCAGTCTGTGCTTTCAGCTCAGTGCAGGATTATTACCTGGAACAAAGTGAAAGAGACTGAGCAGACGTCATTCTGCAGAACTACGAATAAAAAGTGTTTCACTGATTAAAACAAGGAAAATCAAGCAATGCTCACTTTTTACATGTTGTTAAGATTCCGTGTCACGAAGCAACCAACTGCAGAGGAGACAATCTACTTCCTGTTTACGTCACGTGACCAGTGAACGGACGCTTGATGTGTGTTCGTGTGGACGCAGGTTGTTTCTGATACGGAGCGAAATGACATAATGAACGAGATGATGGATGTGAGCGCCTGAAAGATCAACCGCATCTGAAACTGAGCAACTTGAATGAATTTGAGAAAGAAGCTCGTGTTCGCAGAGTCCCAGGACCTGCGGTGGAGCGGTGGACGAGTGTTGACGTCACTGTTTGAGTTGACGGGATCGTCCAGCGCTCCGTTGGTGAACAACTGGTGCTCTGACTCCAGCGGCCTGATGGATGACCGACTGGTAAAAGCAGCAGGTTCCCTCCATCTCGTCTCCCCCCCCTCCCCCCGACAAACTTATATCTAGTTTGTTTGTGGTGGCCCCCCCCCCCTCTCCCGTACTGTCTAATTGAAGCGCTGTGTTTCCAGCGAGCGCAGATAGCTCCTCCGTCTGTGTCTTAAGACGGTAAAATACACTTAACCTTCAGATGGACTCCAGCCGCTCAGAAGGGCAGCGGCCCAACCGGGACTCAAATCTTTTTTCTCTATCAACTTAATTGTGTTTTCAATTATTTCCCCCAGATTTTCTGTCTCTTGACATTTGCTGTAAGGACGGTGTTTACCCACCCTCACCCGTCTCCCCCCCCCCACACACACACACACACACCAGCAGTCCTTTGTTTTCCGTCCATCCACAGACGTAGAGAAACATTCATCTGCTTGTTTATTCATTTTCTTATTGCTTAAGTCTTTTCTCTCACATCTTCTCTCTTCTCTGCCCGTCGTTCACTTTCTGCTGCTCCCTCTATCGTTCTCACATCAGCTTCCTGCTGGTATCGATCCCCTCCCTCGCTCCCTGGTGATCAGGTTTTACCAGTCTCCCATTGATTACCAATGGAGGCAGCGCTGAGGTGCATGATGGGAAGCTGGCGAGGTTGCAGCACAACAGGGGAGAGATGGGAATGTTGTCGGTTGGATTTCTTGTGTAGTTTCTCCTGTTCTGTTTGTGTTTATCTCATTAATATGTTAAGAGTTTATTTATCTCCGCGGATCGTTTCCTCTTTATGATTCGATTTCATCAGGGGCTGAACAGCACTTATATAATATGATGCAGTAATTAAATTATTTATATGAACTGGTGATTATTTGTATTTTACTGTCAACATGGTGGAACAGTTGGTTTCCTGAACACTGACGCGTTATAACAAATAGTACATTTAACTTTCCTCGTTGAATATCGGAAGTTAGATGTGAATGTCGTTGTAAATGGTTGTTAAATAATATTGTGAGTATATTCAGGATACTCAGTGCAGCATGTGCAGAGTCTGTGTCCGTCAGAGACTTTATCAGATCTGACGTGAAGAGACAGTCTGGACACAGTCTCCAGTCTCTAGACTTCAGTATCAGTTTGAATACAGTCACTATAGAAACTATTTATTCAAAGATGTCTTTACTCTTATTTTGTTGGTTTGAATTGTGACCAAATTAAATACTAAAGACAAATAAACAGTTTTTATTGCCTGGACGACAGCAGCTTGTTTTCAACGAGAAGT